AGCTACGTACCTTGAAATGATACCAATACTGATTTATGCTGTTCCTACATGTGTATTTATGTTTTTTTCAGAAGAAAATACCAGCAGAGTACCAGAGATAATGCTTCCCATTGATATATGTTTTTACTTTTGAAATAAATATCTAAAACAATATTGTGAAGAAGCTTGTTATGATGCCATACTTATTGCACCAACTGTCGCAAATACAATGGTCATTTTTAGGGAGTTTTAAGGGCCAGAGTCCAAAGGGACAGAGATAGTCTTACTTAAGAGCTGGCTCTTTAAGTCAGGCTTTCCCTCCTGTCATCACTTGATTATTTTAATTTTTTTTCCCCATCCTGAACCATATTACTATTGTTGCTCTTTATTTTATTATACTGTTTTTATTCTATTTTTATTGTTAGCCGCCCAGAGTAGACTTGTGTCTATATGGGTGGGGTATAAATTTAATAAATAAATATATAATGAATCTAAAGAAGTGGTGATATATTAGACAATCCCACACACATGTAGAAAATTGAGTATTCTTTCCATTTTTTTTCAGTAGTTCTTTTGTGTCATTATGTTATACCATCTTGAACACAGCAACTCATTTTGATTTTAGAAGCTAAGCATAGTTGGCTTTGGTTACAGTGGACCCTTGACTTACAGACGGCTTGACTTACAGATTTTTTGAGTTACAGACTTCTCTGGCCGCAAAATTTAGGTTTGACTTGCAGACTGAGATTTGACTTACAGACCAGAAAAAAACCAAAATGGAACAAAAACAGCCTGTTACGGGATTAATCGGTTTTCAATGCACTGTAGGTCAATGGAGACTTGACTTACAGACTTTTTGACTTGAGAACCGCCTTCCAATACGGATTAAGTTCTCAAGTCAAGACCCCACTCTATTACTTAAATGGGCAACTAGTAGGGAACACCAGAGATCTCCATGAGATGGGGCAAAGCAACAATGCTTCCTAAAAATGCTGCCAGTCAGAGTTGACAGTGCTAAGCTAGATGGACCAATGCTCTGACTCAAGTAAGGTAGCATCCTATATTACTGTGTTCCACATAAACCATGCTGCCTGACACTCATTTTCAGCCATAACTGTAAATGAGAATCTGTTGTCTTGACAGCAGCCAAGTTATGAAATCAATTTACCAGAATGGTTATTTATAGCAATAACAGTAAGAGATAAGGGAAAAGAGCAAATTATGACTCAATTAACTTTCTGATCCTTTCCCCCATTTTTTAATTGTTTGCTGGCATTTAAATTAGTTCACAGGTGTGTTTTATTTCCTGTTAGACTATTATGTATATTTTTCAAAAATCTCTGTACTGTTTCTTTCCCCAGTTATACAACTCAAAGCAGAACAGAATCAAAAACTTTACTTTTGTTTCATTTTGGACAAAACAAAAACACCCAGACCCACATTCATGCACACAGTGAAGTCAAGTCCAAATGCAGCCAGTTTCATGCAGTACACACTTGTTAGTAGCAGAAGCTGTTTGTAAAATATATTGGTGATTAGTAAGGATTACAGACTAAAGTAGTTGATGCTTTGGTTTCCAAATTGCACAGATTTAGGCTTCTGCTTTACTGATACTTTTGTTAGGAAATTCACAATGTAAACTGATGCCGTTCTCAGGCTCCTGTACTGTTTACTTTCAGTACTATTTCTTGTAGGGCCCAAAATGGACAGTTCCTTCCTCTGCCTTGATCCTGTCAGCATGTGCTAGCCTAAGAGCCTAGTGTCACAACTTAGTTGGCACATCACACAGGAAGCTAGGCAAGAACTTCCTAGACATCATCATATAAAACTTAGTCCAGTGACCTAGCGACTACAATATATAATAAAACTGCCCAGTACAGAGCCAAATTAGAGGTGTGCAGATTTGTCCTTTTGGACATCTGTGGGTATTAGTCGAAAAACACAAATCAGCACATCTCTTAGCCAAATTAAACTGTGTACATAATATTGTATGTAGAGGTCTGTCTCCTGTACAAATGTGCACAATTAAATTTGGCTTTGTATGTGGAAGGAAATACAGGAAAAATATAAATTTTCAGTTACACGCAAGATATATAGAAAGAGATATATGTACAGACTTCTTAATATTGACATAGCTCTGTAGTTTTTTTATTATTTTTCTGTGTTTTAGGTGATCTGTATTGGTCTTAACTGTTGTGTTCCAAAATCTACACTTTATTACATTTTACCGTAATGTGATTCTTCAAAATTATTTAATTCTCTAAGCCACCCAAAGAACTTTGATTTGTCCCTTTCTCTCTTTCTAATTAGCATAAAATAAATCTATAAAGAAGCATGCAAGAAATAAGCACCGGGGATTTCTGGTTTCCCATTAAACATCCCTCTCTGGTGCATTCTTGAGTGTATTTACTGAGGGCATATCTACACATAACCCACACTTGCCAAGTAAAACAGGAAGAATTTATCAGATACTCCTGCATCTTCCAGCCTCGTGTGAATTTTTTAAAAAGTGTGAATTATGCTTTCTGTAATTCACACTTTTAAAAATATGTATGCACTTCTTGTGTGTCCTTTGGACTTTTGCACTTCTTAATCTTGTTCTTCTGCACATGCTCTTAACTCCTTCAACTCCAGAGTTTTGGTGCAATAGCTCCCCTGTTTTGTTGGGGAATCTTGATGACCTTGTTGAAAATTTCACTGATTACAGATACATCAGGGTTTCATTCTGTTGCTTCAGCATTTACGCATATTCTGTAAATCCTCACTTCTCTCAACCTTTGCCATCAGGACAATGAATCAGGATATTCTTCTCCTTCCTGGAAATGGAAGAAAGGTATTTATTTGCAGAGATACAGACGAGAACAAGAAATGTTTTCATGCCAATGGCCCTTGCTTTGTTTCATGGGCTTTTAAAAATTTAAAGCACTGGATGGCTTGTTTGTATCATTTTGAACAGTCACCAAATCCTTCTGAGCTCTGTGTGTGAAAGTGCCCAGAACTTCACACAGAGAAAGGATGTTAGTTTAGCACAGGGTTTAATGCCAATCACAGAGACCTTGATAGGAAGAAAGAGAGATTTTTGTCTCGCTAGATGTGAGAGATCTTCCAGAGCTTGAGAATTCTTTGCCAAAGTGTCTTGTCAAGTCAAGGTCAATGTAAGTCACATAAAATGAGGACTTTAGCAAGTATGCTTAACACCTCTAGTCCTCTTTGTGTAAATGAGTATGAAGAGTACAAAGTTGTAAGAAAGGCGTAATTAAAAAAAACATTTCAGAATAAACTTCTGAAAGATCCACTGTGCCTCATAGAATTCACTGGCACTTGCAGCCTGAATACCAATGTGTGTGTTTTTATTTACCTGTGAATAAGCAGTACCAGCCATCACATGCTTGAAATCAGAAACAGACCATTTGGCAGCTTCTTGTTACCGCAACTACTTTAGAGTGCTTAGAAGTTGGAGCCACATCAAAATTTAAATTCACTGCTTTTCTCAGGGTGAACCTGGAAATTTTGCTGGTTGATGCAAATTACAGAATGGTACATTCACATTCCAGTGTACAAAAGAACACTTGAGTCTCTCTGGGACATTGTTGTTGTGAGAGCATATTTTACTGCACTTGATAGTACCAAGCTGACCTAGTGAGTGCAGGGTAAGCGGCACTAAATTATGGTATTCTAGCAGAGGTCAGCAGCCAGCAACCACTGGCTTGCTACACTTCTCAGGATCTTTCATGTGAGGCAGTCACGATACTCTGCCAAACGGCAGAGCTGGCAATTGCTTTCCCCATTAATTCACTAAAAAAATTAGTGCCTGGTTCGTCAGGGTCTTATATATGTAAAGATCGTACAACTGTAACACTGTCCCCATTATTTCCACAACGCTAAATATAAGTAGTGAGGAGTCGTGTCCGACTCCTCACGAGGAGTTGGACACGACTAAACGACTAGATGATGAAATATAAGTAGTGACATGGAGAACAAGAAAATGTTACTTTCTTGGACTACAACTCCCAGAATCATCATGGCCAGTGGCCTTATAGCTGGCAAATACTGAGAGCTGAAGTCTGGGTTAGGGGAGGACTTTCTTAAGCAGAAGGCAAAATTGTTCTGCTAAAGTCAATTACAAAATGGCCATGATTTCAGCCTGTTCTCAGCACCAGATCAGAGTGTAGCCACAAAACATGAGAGATATAGCACTTCTGAACTTCAGAGAGCTTCTTCTTCCCTCATTATGTAAGGCAACCGAAATAAACTCACCTGAGCCTGAAATCAGACTTGAGTGCTTGCAAGTCATTTGGATCCTGTCTAAGTCTGATTAGAGTTGACTGCCATTGAAGTCAAGCAAGACACGTTGGCCACGATTTCATTCCCATTAGAACTAGAATCAAGTAACTTGGATCTGCATCCAACCCAGAGAATACAGTACATATGGGTAGATTTGTCAGCAGCATTCAGGGTGCAGCCCTAGGACCTTTTTTTTAAAGAAGCTGAGCTTCAGCAGAGGAGGGTGTAGGAAAATGTTACTTATTGCACTAACAAGACAAGATACCAGAACATTAATAGGGCACTGTCCATAGTATATGCCACACCTTTTAAAGCCTTTTAACATTTCCTTTCAACTTTTGTTTCCCTCCCTCCCCATTTTAAGCACTGCTATGGCTCTCTTTGCCCTAGGAGTTTTCTTTTTCAAGAAAACAGAGAAATGAATGAACTATAGGTACTGTTTGACAAAAGTTCGGTCTTAAAAATGCGATGTTTGAGTTATTTCCTTATACCTAATTCCTAGTTCCTTAATAGTTCAGTACTTCAAAATACAGTGTACTTGTTCAGCTGAATAACAACCTGAATTTTATATGGCTGGAACCCCAAGCTGAGCTTTTAATTACTCCATATTGTAACAATTTCAACACCAGGTACTTTAAATAAATAACGTCCTAGATGGGATCTAGTTGATGGAATGGGGGAGGCAATTACCTTTATCCACCACCCATGCTTATTGTTTTTTATTAAATTCTCCTCAGGTTTATTTAAAAGCCTCTATTATTACCAGGGACTATGAGACAGCAGCTGCGATTGTGTTCCTGGTTGATCGGTTCTTGTACTGGGTTGATGGCTCCACTCAGCTTCTTCAGATTGTCAAGAAGCTTCACAGGCTTCACCCTACAGTGCCAGTTGCTCCCCAGCTGATGATTCGCCAGGCTCGTGTCTCTGTAAATTCAGGTAATGAACCCTTCGTTGCTCTCAGTCTCTCTGTCTCACTCCCAGCCTCTTTCCAATTAGAAGATCCTTGACTTTCAAGAGGATATTTTGTTCCATTCTTAAGATGGCATTCCTGGGAGCCTCATGCCTTCCTTTCAAACTGATACACTTTTTCTTTTGCCCCACATACATTTCCCCCATCCAGACGCCTCCCACTTATTCTGGCCTACACCAAGACCCTACCATAAATGCTTCTCTATAAAGCCTTCCTTCCTTTCTATGTATTACACAAAGATCATGGATTGTATTGGGTTGAGTTATAAAATATATTCCAAATTACTTGAGGAATGAAATATCAAAACTTAACTATTGTTGGATATGGGTGTGAAATTATGAGTGGAATCTTTGTCTACATTAAGTAACTCTGTGCTGGTGGGCGTTTACCAGGAGGACAAATTGTGAAAGTGTGTGAAAAATACTAATTTGAGCTTTTGTCTCCTAACAGTTCTGCCCTGCTGTTTCAAACAGTGGTGTGTGAATTGCTGTACTTCTAACCCAGAGCTTCTAAAAGTGCATTACACAGCCCTGTCATTTTCTGTGCACTACCTTTGGCTGCCTTTAAAAATTGCTAACCAACAACCTATGGCCATTTGATGTAAACCATAGAGTTGAACTTCTCTATAAAGCCTTCCTTCCTTTCTACGTATTACACAAAGATCATGGATAGTACTGGGTTGAGTTATAAAATATATTCCAAATTACTTGAGGAATGAAATATCAAAACTTTTGTTGGATATGGGTGTATATGGGTGTGAAATTAAGAGTGGAATCTTTGTCTACATTAAGTAACTTTGATGTTATGTGCCATCAAGCCATTTGTGACTTATGGTAAGCCTAATCGGGTTTTTAAGATAAAAGTGATGTCAAAGGAGTAGTTTTACTATTGCTACTGCCCAGTGAGTTTCCATGGCCAAGTGAGAATATAAACCCAGGTCTCCTAAATCTTAATCCACCACTGTCTACAACACTGTACTGGCTCACCTTAAATAGCTACTTCATTGAAAAAATGGCTTTGTTTCCCATCTTTGGGCTTGAGCTCTGACACAAAGGAGCAGCCTTTTAGCTAAAGCTTGTATGTAAACTGAGGGGCTAAGGTTAGGAAAGAAAAGCTTCATTTTTAAAAAAGAGTTTTCCTTTTAAGAATTTGAGCTAATGACATTCTCTCATTCTACAGCAGAATAATTGTCTCTGTCAATTACACAACACGACTTTAGGAAGTGATATATTTATCTATTTCAGAGGTATCAGTAAGCACTGAAGTCTGTGTGAAGATTTCAGAGTTATCAGTAAGCACTGAAGTCTGTGTGAAGGCCTACATGATCCCACTCCTGGGATTAAGAGGAAGATATTCAGCCCAGTTGCCTTGCCCTAACCTGCCTAAAAGTACCTATAAACTCTAGGAAGCTCTCTTGTACTAAATTAGACTGTTGGTGCAAATAGCTCAGTACTGATTATGCTATAGAGCCTGTGTCCTGAGCACACTCCTGTACTGCAGTGAGTCCTGGACCCTTTGTACACAGCAGGAGAGGAAGTTGAACACTTTCCATATGCGTTTCCTCCGACACATTTTTGGTATCACCTGGCAGGACAAAGTTCCAAGTAGAAGAGTCCTAGAACAAGCTGGAATTTCTAGCATGTATACATTACTGAAACAGTGACGTCTACGTTGGCTTGGGCATGTCATGAGAATGGCTGATTGCCGGATTCCAGATCTCCTGTATGGAGAATTAGTGCAGGGTAATCGCCCCAGAGAGAGACCACAGCAGCAATACAAGCATATCTGCAAGCGGGATCTGAAGGCCTTAGGAATGGATCTCAACAGATGGGAACCCTTGACGTCTGAGCATTCAGTCTGGAGGCAGGTGGTGCATCATGGCCTTTCCCAATTTGAAGATACCCTTGTCCAGCAGGCTGAGGCAAGGAGGCAGTCCCGAAGCCAGTAAAATCAGGGAGCTGGACAGGGGGCAGATTGTATTTATCTTCAGTGTGGAAGGGATTGTCACTCTCGAATTGACCTTCTCAGCCGCACTAGATGCTGTTCCAAATCCTCCATACAGAGCATGTTACCATAGTCTCTCGAAACTGAAGGATGCCTACTGATTATGGCTGTGTGGCTCTTCAGGTTTTCAGACAGAGATGTCAAGGTTAAACCTGGGACCTTTCCCTGGCAAACTGTATGGCTGTGTGGCTCTTCAGGTTTTCAGGTTAAACCTGGGACCTTTCCCTGGCAAAGCACATACTGTAGTTACCATGAAGGTCATTAAAGAACTTTCCATTCAGCTAAGTTTAATTTGTGTTTCTTTAATGTAGAACTGTTTCTTTCATATTTATAGGTAAGCTGCTAAAAGCTGAATATATACTTAGCAGCCTGATTAATGACAGTGGAGCAACAGGTAAGAAATCAATTATGATTTCTATGCTTTTTTGACTTCTCATTTCAGCATGTCACAATTGCATCACTGAAGCATTCAAACAGTAGCTGGAGCAAGCAATTTTTAACTATAAAGCTATTAGATGAGAGAGAAATTCTTATTTGTATTTTAACCCTTTCCCCATAACAAATAATCAGTATGTATCACAGAGGACTTGTATTTGCAGCTAATCACCTACAGTTTATTATAAAGCCAATCTGAAGGAAATGTAATTGCTCAACAACCTTTGACCTCACTTTTCTGCCTTCTTCTTACCTCCCCAAGCACAGAATTGCTTTTAAGTGGGTTTTTCATTGTGATTCTCAGGTGTATGGAAGTACTCTAAAGAAAGTGATAGGATCCTTGTCCAGTCAGTCTGCATACAGATCAGAGGTCAAATTCTACAGAAACTCGGTAGGATTTTAGTCAGAGTCATGAATCTTTCTCACAATTATTTTAGTTGATCTATCTGGAGTGTATGTTGCATCGTACCTTTTTTCCAATGTCCAATGAGAGATGGTAATGAGAAAAGGTGGGGCTTGCAGGGGGAAAAGAACACTGACATGAGATGAAACTGCTAAAAAATGGCACTCCTTTGATCTTCTAAAAATCTCATTCATTTCTCTGATTTTTTGGTAGGATTTTCTCCTTAAAAACTGTGATCTTTTCAGCTGCAGTATATTTCATCTGCTCACAAATAACTTCTCTAAGTTACTATAGACTTAGTTCATACTAGGCAAAATTATTGTACAAAAATCCAGGATCCTCATGACACAGTAGTTAAACTGCAATACTTCAGTCAAGGCTCTGCTCACTACCTGAGTTTGATCCTGACAGGCTCAGATACTCAGCTCAAGATTCAACCTTCTATCCTTCCAAGGTTGGTGAACGGAGTACCCAGCTTGCTGACGGTGGGGGGCAATGTGTAGCCTGCATAATTAAATTGTAAGCCACCCAGAGAGTGTTTTAAGCACTACAGGGTGGCATATAAGCAGCACACTTTGCTTTCTGCATCAGTGTAATCCAAAAAAATATATGTTTAGAAGAGTTTCAAATGGCTTGTCTTGAGGTATTCATTCTGTTTTCCGTATTAATATTCATTCTTTAAAACCATGCGACATGTTGTGGTGCAAAGGATAGAAAACAAGTGGGAAATGCCATGAAAATAAAAGTCCTGCTGATAAGAGCAGCAATCCAGGCAGTAGTTAATTCAATGGGAGACAGTTTAATAAATGCCCATTATTGTTGAATTATCTTATGCTGACCATGGGAACTCTCTGATTTCTGAGCCTTATCCTAAGACATGTTTCCAGGCTTATCTCCTGAAGCACAAAGACTGTAGTTATTTTTAAATTCAAAATAAATATTTATATAAATTTAACATATTTTCAGGGTTTTTTTTTAAAAAAAAAATAAACAGGTTTAAAACTGGAATTTTCAGATTCCATCCTGGTTTGGGGAAAATAGAGTGCCTACATGGGCACATCACCCTAGCTTTTCACCAGTATACATTGCACCAGTTTTTCAAATTATCTTGGCTTGGAGATTTGAGCCTCTGCTCATCATTGGTGCATCACCAGCATGGTGGAACCTCTTTCACTTTCCCTCCTCTTGCAACCCTTCTAAACAGCAAACAGCCTTCCAGAGTGGGTTTTGTGAATGGTTGGGGTGGGAGCTGCATTTGAAGAGGACACTGCCTCCTCTCAGTTCCCCCATGCAACTCATCACTTAATCTTTTTGAGAAATGTGAAAGCAGCTTCTAATAATTATGAATTCAGGTGTTTTTTGTGTGTTTCAGGGATGTGGTATGAAGCTGCGGAGCTGATCTGGGCCTCCATTTTGGGTTACTTCACCCTTCCTCAGCCAGATAAAAAAGTAATGAATGCACCTTTTTTTAAAAAAAAAATCCATAGTTATATTTCTGCTCTTTATATAGCACTGTTGGCAACAACTGCACAACATTTAAAAAATATAACAAGAAACAACCAATGTCTTTCTGTGTGGTTCTCTTCCAGGGGATTGGTACATCACTGGGTATTTTGGCTGACATCTTTGTATCCATGAATGAAAATGATTACAGCCATTTTAAAAACAACTATCAGTTTGATCTGGTAACTATTCTTGTATTAAAGGGAAATGTCATTTAGCTGATCTCAGCTTTGCCTTTTCTCTGTTTTAATTGATCTAACTAAAGAAATTTGGTGTGTGTGCTCCTTCTCCCTCTTTTTTATCCTCCTTTACTCCTTGTAGTCTTTATCCTATCCCTAGTTTAAAATAAATAAAAAGAAAGAGCAGATCAAGTTTAATACGGTCATAGACCAATGTAATGTGCAATTTTATCACTTTTTTTCTAATTATGAAATATCTATGGAAGAGCTGAGGTGCCTTTCCTGGTGACCTAAATACTGTCTTGCATTATCAGTTGTTGATCATTCATGGAGGATGAAGCTGATTCATAGCAGTTCAAGATTGGTTCATTATAGTTAGCTTGGGTATGTACAGTGGTGTAGGTGATTGACCCAGGTATCATAATATTTGTTTCTCATTCTCCCTCCCTCTGTGTGTGTGTGTGTGTGTCTGTCTGTCTGCCTCTGTGTGTGTGTATTTTTAATAGAAGGGCTGAATAAAAAGATCTGGCAAACAAAATCTATCTATGTATTTGCGAAGGCTTTCACAGCCGGGATTTTATGGTTGTTGTGGGTTTTTCGGGCTCTTTGGCCGTGTTCTGAAGGTTGTTCTTCCTAACATTTCGCCAGTCTCTGTGGCCAGCATCTTCAGAGGACAGCACTCTGTGCTCTGGTGTAGTTGGCTTGGGAGTGGAGTATTTATGGCTGTAAGATGGGCTTTTTTTCTATAGACGGGTGATTAGTGTGTCTTGTTGTGGGTTTATTGTTGTGATAAAGAGGAGAGATTATCTGTCACTGTGGTTGATGGGTGTCATTAGCACAAAAGACCAGCTAATGACACAGAGACTGGTGAAACGTTAGGAAGAACAACCTTCAGAACACGGACAAAGAGCCCGAAAAACCCACAACAACCACAAAATCTATCTAAATGTATGCTTTCTTCTCATTCAACAGCACCTTCTGAAAGAGTTTGATCATCGTCTGCTTTCAGCCGCAGAAGCCTGCAAGCTGGCAGCAGCCTTCTGCCAGTTTACATCTTTGTTTGTGCTCACGGCAATGGTAAGTGCAGAATTCAGGGATAATGTGTTTCCCCCCCTCCCCCAGTCCTGAAAATTCTTTGCGATGACTTTCTGCTGCACTGTATTGCTGCATAATCTATATCCTGGATTCAGATGCAATATGCAAAATGGGAATCTACATTTTACCATATTGGATCTGCTCATTTGGAGCCGCTGCTTCCTATAAGCTATGTGTGTTGTGTGTCATTAATGCCCCAAAGTTATATTAATATTGTTTGAACTTATATTGCAATAAGAGTAGTAGCTAAAGGGTGCTAAATACTTGATTCCTTTTTTTTTTCTTTTGGAGAGGATGAATCTTTGAGGGGGGCAAAGGGTTCTATGTCTCTGGATTTGACAACAAAGGTTTCAAAAAGTGTGCTTGTCATCTCCTGGCCCCAATCTTAATTTTACCCAGTTCCAGGAGCAAATAAATACTGGAGATAAAATATGCTTTGCAAGTTTCTGTATAGATAGGAACCGTTTCTGTGATTCCCTGAATCCGTTCTGCTTGTTCTCCAGTTTATTTGTTTATTTTTATACCACTTATCAAGCAAATTCACTTCTCTGGGTGGTGTATACAACAAAATGCAAAGAATATATGTATATTATAAAATCAACTGTAGAAAACCGCTAAACTAACTGTAATTACACATGGCAGCATAGGCAGCAGAATGTTGTTGATGACGATAACAAAAACAACAGTTTCCTCGTTCAGCATTCTTCTTCTTACCTCCTCTGTCCCATTAACTGAGGAGGATCTTGCCAAAGGCTTTTCTAAAAAATTCTATTTTCAGGAGCTTCCTAAAGGTTCAAGGGAGGGCACCTGGCATATTCCCTGTCGGAGGGCATTCCACACAGAGCGGACTACCGCTAAGATGGCCCAGTTTCTGGATGATGTTTTACAGTTTGATTTCTGGATGATGTTTTACAGTACTTAGAAGCCGCATTCATTCCAGTGGGGCAGTCTCTGGCTTGTGAAAAAGTTTGTGCAAAAGCTTAGTATGGGAACTTCAAAAGTTTACTTTTCGGAAAGCCAGAGAATGCTCCTTTGAAATGAACAAGGCTTCCAGCTGCACAGAGTACTAGATTCCATAAGCTCAGGAAATGTTCAACTGCTGTCACAATAAACTACTGCATTCCCAGAGCAGGCAAACAGAATGCAGTACTAGATCAAAGATCAAAGATTCAGTTAACCAATGCCAAATTCTAATTTTAACAATAGATGCAAACAGTATTAGATGTCAAAAACAAACCTGCTCAGAATTCCTTTAATGTAAAATAAGAATATTGAATTGGAGTGATATGTCTTGCAATGTTTTTTTCTTGTGTGTCTTTGTTTGTTTGTTTGTTTGATTATGATGATGTCATTCTAGGACTGAATCTATTGTTAGTCCAAACTAGAGTAGAATGGATAAGGTACTGTCTATCCTGGTGTGGTGGCCAGCAAAAAAGGCACTGTGCTATTCAGTTGCACAATCAGTTGTATGTCCAGTTGCACAATAAACCAGTGGAAGTGCTTTGTGGATAGCACTTCTGCCTCAACCCAGTCACAGCCACTGTGGACGCAATCTTGAGTTGTGCATGTGTAGTTGTGTAGCAGGATTTTGACCATTGAATGAAAGGACTTTGAAATTGACATTTAATGAAGTCCCACTTCTGCCTCAACCCACTCACAGCCACTGTGGACGCAACCTTGAGTTGTGCATGTGTAGTTGTGTAGCAGGATTTTGACCATTGAATGAAAGGACTTTGAAATTGACATTTAATGAAGTCCCATTGATTCAATGGATCTGATCTAATTGAGGTTGTATTTAGCCCCTAAAGTATCTACTGTACGATATGTGATTTAATCATAATATTTGTACACTGCCTGGTATCTGAAAGGAGGAAAAGTGGTTAAAATGCTTTAATGAAATAACCAAATTATTTGTGTACCCTAAGATTGCTGGTATAAATAACTAAAGAGCATTGGAAAATCAGTTTTCCACTGGCATGAATTCAAATTTGAGTATGAAAAAATCATTCGTTTCTGTTATACTTGATTTGCAGAATATCCGAGGAACATGTTTGCTATCTTACAGTTGTTCGAGTGCATGCCCTTCAGAAAAGGAGATGTTTTATTTGTCTGAGGCAAAGAAATCCTTTGAAATTGGTCTTCTCACTAAGAACAACAAAGAACCGGTCACCAGCAAACAAGAACTCCACAGTTTTGTCAAAGCAGCATTCTGCCTTTCAAAGGTACATCAACGACTCTATGGAGAGAGCGAGAGGCTTAGTCAGGTTAACCAGTTCTGCCAGGAAGCCTTGGAGAAGTTGTATGCTTATAGCCATTCATCAGATAATGAACAGCAAGACAAAGGACAACTTGCCAAGGATATTATGAGCCTGGTCATGTCTGCTAAGGAGCAGTTGCATGTGCAGAGTTTCCCTAATTCAGACACTATGTCTTACATTCCAGATGGCTACAAAACAGATGTCAACAAACCGATTGTGAATGGTGAAATGAGCTTTGAAAAGGTCCTCAAAATGCATTCCCAGCATCATGAAGCAGTCTGTGATGTTTTTGAAAGTACTTGCAGGAGCCACAAAGTTAATTCGCAAGAAGAAGGCAAAAGAGGAGCCTGTATAACCACTTTGAAAACTGAAACCAGAAATGTGGACACCATGTGCATGACTGAAGAAAAATCACACTGTGGAAGTGATGCTGCAAAAAACATAGTATCACAAAAGTTGCTGAAATGTTATGGGGTTCGTAAGGGCCAAATACAAAATAAATTATCCCATGATGCTGCAGTGGATGTTTCCCTTGGGGAAGAGACAGAAAGTGAGGCTTCAGAAAGAAATCAGAACAGGGCTGATGATGTTTTAAATGGCTCTCAGAGTGGGAGTGAAGTTTCTAGTTCATTAAGATCATGGAGCAAATTTTCCAGATCAAATTTATTTACTAGTTGGGAAGATATTGATTGCCATGAAGATGAACTGCCCCAAGATAAAGTACAAAACACAAAGGGCAGGCCAGATAAAGAGCAAGCTCGCTCTGCAGCCTTGAGTGGAGACGTCTCAAAAAATGTTCAAGGAAGTGATTTCTGCTGTTTTTCTTCCAAAATGCACCAGGTCTCTCTTCAGGAGACTCAGCATGACTGTACATCCCATTTAAAGCAGTCCTTCCAGTATAATGTAGCCTTGACGGATAGAGTAATGGACTTGGAACCAAATGTCAAGCATTTGGAGGGAGCAATAGATGTAGCAAAGCGAGCATACAAGGAAAACGGTGGCGCCAACTCAAGAAATAGTCATGATAATTTGAATTCCACAATGAGCCTCACTTCTGAACAAGATGCATTTGGAATTACCTTCTCTTCAGCAATTGATTCCAGAACTAAAGACAACACTGAGAACAGTGCAGCCATTTCTAAACCTACTCAGTATATCAGTAGGAATGAAAACCCAGCAGACCCTGAGTGGTGCAAAAGAATTGTAGAGCCAGTTTTTAAACAGAATTGTACACTGATTGATCAAGAAAGAGAAACAGTAGATACGACCAAAGATGCACAAATGATGCCACATCATCCTGATGACAGAGCAACAGGTACTTCCATAGATAGCAACATGCCAAAACTGGAATATGATAATTACATACAAAATTGGATTAATAAATCAGTCACTACAATGGCTGAGGGATGCTCCTTTGAGATACCTGAGGTTGATCCCCAAGCAGAAACAGCAGAAGACTGGGAAATTGCTTCCAATATTGGACGACGGTCAGAAGATCACCGTGCCAAAACGTGCACGATACAAGATCAACAAAATCACCCCACAATTTCTCCTTCCAGAAGGGACAACAAGCTATATGCCAATCAATCCATTGATTGCACCACAACAGAAGAAGAGGAAGGTGAAAAGATAAGAAAAGTTCAGAGTTCAAGTTCTTCTCTGAAATCGTGGTACAACGCATCCAATTTTTCCAGCAGTTTTTCTGACCTGGAGGTTCCATCATTTTTGAATTCTAGTGGGAGCTCATTTGTCTTTATGCAAAGGATCAAAGAACAGAACCTAAAAGCTCGCATTCTGAATAATGATGAATATGACAGGCTTCTGTCAGGAGTAGAACATGATTGGTTAATGCAAAGAATGAAGAATATGGGGCTGTTTAAGCCAAACCTACTCCATCAAGCACATTGTAAGTAAAATTTTCTAAAACATACCTCTGTAATATCTGAGAGAGAAAGTGATGATTATGTAGTAGCATTTCCTTGGTGATTGTTACAACCCCAAGCACTTGTCTTTTTTAATTCATTCATGTGCTACACTAAAGGAAACAAGTAAGCTAGCGTACATGATATTCAGGTTTAATTTTCCTCTTCCTGTATCATTTGTTTCAATAACAACTTCAGGGGAAAGATTAATGCCCTCCTCTTAATTTAATTTAATTTAAATATTTTTACTCCACCTTTCTTTTTAAAAAGCACCAAGGCTGTTTACATAATTAAAAGGCAATATTTAAAGTTGAATAGGGTAAGTATACAAATATTAAAAAGAATTAAACAAATGTATTAAAACGGTAAATAAAATCAATACTAAAAACATATTTTAGGGCAACAAGGCACAACAAGCCATTCAATAAGCCCCTCTCACCCAACCAGGCACTAAAGGAAAGCCTGCTGTAAATACAATTCAGATTTTATCCCTGCCCCATCTGTGGCTTCTTTCAAAATGAAAAAAATGATGATGTGAGATACTGAGACAACTCCCTCATGTGGGGTTTGGTCCTTTTATACAGTGGCTTTTATATCTGTATACGTAAAAATGCAAGTAACCATTCCTGAGTTAATGACTGAGATAGGATTTGAATGCTGATCTCCCAGTTTTCCAAGCACATGAGGTCAAGCCAAGGCATTTTGCTACTTGAGGCAAAGAACAAGATCCTTGCAGCAGCATCACTTCCATACACGAAAGCCAACTGGGTGGCAGCTCATTAACGGCTGCAATCCTGTTGTTTGGTATAGTAAGTTGCTTTAGAGTATACACATTGTATCAGTGGGGATTTAATGAGTCAATTCCTAGACAAGATCCTTACAGCAGCATCACTTCCATTCACGAAAGCCAACTGGGTGGCAGCTCGGTAATGGCTGCAGTCCTGTTGTTTGGTGTAGTAAGTTGCTTTAGAGTATACACATTGAATCAGTGGGGATTTAATGAGTCAACTCCTGTGTAGATTCCAATGGGCTCACTCTAGTTGTGACTTTTATATGTAGATTCCATTAATTCAATGGGCTCACTCTAGTTGTGACTTTTATGGATTTTACCCAGTGCTTTCCACAATCAGAGGGAACTCTGCCTCCTGGTGCGGGCTAGTAATATGAGCAAGCATACATTTTGTGATGGGTCACTCTCCTCTATACCACTTTGAATGTGTGGGGTTTGGTTTGGGGTTTTTATTTTATTTTATTTTTATTTTGTTTTAGTCACTCTCCTCTATACCTCTTTGAATGTGTGGGGTTTGGTTTGGGTTTTTTATTTTTTTATTTTTTGTTTTGGTCATCTTAGGTCCTCTGCTAGCAACAGGAACCACCTTCCTTTGGGTATACAACATAGTTCGTATTGTAGGGCCTATCGTCTTGTAGTTTTAATTCGTAAGGAATATTTTCCCAGTCAGAAGCACTTCCCAACCAATGCAGCCTGTCTTGCCTTTCTTTTTATAGATGGTAATATTACACTGACATCATGAATGTGACTGGCCATCTTAGGTCCTCTGCTACCAACAGGAACCACCTTCCTTTGGGTATACAACATAGTTCGTATTGTAGGGCCTATCGTCTTGTAGTTTTAATTCGTAAGGAATATTTTCCCAGTCAGAAGCACTTCCCAACCAATGCAGCCTGTCTTGCCTTTCTTTTTATAGATGGTAATATTACACTGACATCATGAATGTGACTTCTCACAGGTTAAACTGTGGAAACAAAATGTCAGAGGCTTTTTGTTTACTGGTACGGAACAGCCACATTACTACAGGGGTTGTCAAATCATTTGTCTTCTTTTTCAGCTGCTCTTCTTCTGAAATACTCTAAGAAATCGGGCCTGTGGACAGCCCAGGAGACAGCAGTGTATACTGGAGATTACCTGAGTGTGGCAAAGAAAGGCAAGCAAAGGAACGCCTTTTGGATACATTTCCTGCATCAAGAAGAGACTCTGGGAAGGTACCACTCAAACTGGGATGGCATTTTGATCTTTTCCAGCTGAAATACCTCGTGGTATTTTAATTTGTAGTTCTGGATGGGACCAAAGCTTAATCGAAAAGCACAACCAGGGAGATTTTTGTCCCACCACCATTCAGAAGGAGCAGGTAGTAAGCAAAGAGGGAGATTCCTGCCCAAGACCTTAACAATCTGAATAAGGATGGTGCCTCACCCTATCACGGTTGGATAAACCCTACTCCTTGCTCAGACTGTAAATTAATTACATATAATAGTTATATATTTCTTATTTATTCCTGTCAGAGCCATCTGATTTTATGCCATGAAGTCAATTCTGACTTTCAGGGTTTTGTAGTACTCAGAAGTGGTTTACCATTTCCTTTTTCTGAGGGTACCCCAAAGCTGTGCAGCTTTGCTTAAGGCTGCACTGGCTTGTTCTTTCCCAATGGGGAAATCAAACTCCCAACCTCTGATTCCACAGCTTGATACCTAAGTCATTCATTTAAACAACTGCAGTCAGTGGGGAATAGTCCTTCATCCAGATGTTCTGGCCTGTGGCTCCAAGAATCCCTCAACTTTGACCATGCTGGATGGGTTGATGGATGTCAAGCTGGTGTTTCTCCATTCTAGGCTAGATAGAGCAATGATCCAACTGCCTCTATGGCAGCTTCCTCTGCAGTATCACCACTGGAATGTCCCTTATTATTACCTCCCTTTCAAATCGACTGCTGTCCTTATTTTTCTGGGACCCAGCCTTTCTGTTATGGCTCCCTGCACCAGCCTGCTCTGCCATATCTTGGGGTCCATTTCTCTTGGTTCCATCTGGATTTCTTATTAGCATTATAACATTATTTAAGAATATAAAATCTCTGAGATACTCAGTGTGGTATAGTGAAGAGTGTAATGGACTAAGGCTCAGGAGACCTGGGTTTGAATCCCAGCTCTGCCATGGAAACTCTGAGGAGACAGAACTGGTAAAAGCATTCCTTGAAGCCCTGTTAGGGTTGCTATAAGCCTGTATTGTCCTGGCACTCCCCAAGCAGCCTTTAAATAGCAAATTGTACTTCCTGAAGTTTCTGAGGGTAACTGTTGATTTTTTTTCCCCTGAACATTTTTGAGGGTAAGCTAGACAAATTAAAGAGGGTCAGCAGGTCTACAAGGAGAATTGCACTAGGGGCCATGGCAAGCAACAAAGTGGTCCATAGACTCACATAACCCACCCCAATATAGCCAAAGGCCTGTGCTTTTAAGCTGCAGAAACTAAGAAGTAAATTGTCCTGAAATTAGTGGAAATTGCTGCTAGACAGATGTAACCAAGACTAATCTTGGTACCTGAATGATTTCTGTAGAATATATTAAAGGGCATGTTTAGTGATATCAAGAAGACTGTAACACAATTAGAAATATCAGTGGATCCAAAATGCTATGGTTAGGCCACTGATCAGGATGAATTACAGGTGGTAAGTAACTTCCTTGTTATGACAGATTTACTTGATAATTTTGCTACCTTTTAAGGGCCTCCAGCATCCTCAAAAACCAAGCTCAAAAACATTTTAAATTTTAAAAATAGATATTATTGGCCACTAGAGGATTTAAGTTTGACCAAACTCCAGGAGGCAGTGGAAGACAGGAGGGCCTGGTGTGCTCTGGGCCATGGGGTCACGAAGAGTCGGACACGACTTAACGACTAAACAACAACAAAGAGAGGATATAAGAGATTTTTATTCTCCAGCTATGATCCCCTATTTGTGCCAGAGATGAAAATCATGGGACCAGATGCAGCCCTCTAAAATCCAGGCATAGGAGTGCACAGTTCAAAATTTCTGGAGGTTGTCCACCCCTGCTATAGGTCTATAATGTTGTGCACCACTTTCAGTTCTATAGTGGGAGGATAGTTACTATGTTTCTCAAGTGAATTAACAAACAAAAACTCATTGTGCTGTTTGATCTGTTCTTCATAGATATGTTGGGAAAGAGTATAAAGATGAGAAGGAACTTCTTCACCATTTCAATGACGTGGAACGACAAATGACTGCCCAGTACTATGTGACAGAATTCAACAAAAGACTCTACGAGCACAAAATTCCAACACAAATCTTTTACATCCCATCCGTGATCCTGATGGTAAGCAACACAGAAAGCATTGCAAAGGATTCAGCTGATGAAAGGAGGAGGCAGAAGATGAGAAATACTGTCCTCAGTCAAACCAGTGGACAGAGTATAAACAGTTTTAAAACCCTATATGCATCATAATCATCTTTTTTTCTCTCTAGATACTAGAAGGCAGATCTATACAAGGATGTATAAGCGTGGAGCCCTACATTTTAGGGGAATTTGTGAAGTTATCCAATAACACCAAAGTAGTCAAACTGGAATACAAAGCCACAGAATATGGACTTGCTTACGGTCATTTCTGCTATGAGTTTTCCCAAGGCACGGATGTAGTAGTTGATTTACAAGGTTTGTATTTGTGGAAATTCAAGCAGCACAGTTCAGTGCAGGACAAATTTTTAGAATAAAAACAAATCAAATGCAAAGTTAGAAATTGGAACTATAAATTTCTACGCACATTTTCTGTTTCAATACGTCAAACATCTCCCACCTTTCAGAAATATGAGAATTTCACTTTCCCAATGCAACTTTTAGAAAGCAGTTATTAAGACGTCTGCCATAAACTTACTGTCCCATTTTTATTGCAGTTAAAGTAATTGCAGGTTCTACTTCTTTGCTAACGTTTCAACGGCAGGGGAAAGACAGTAGGGAGCAGAATTTAATATCTCTCTCTCTCTCATGCATGTGCACACTCACTGAGACATTAAACTGTGGGCTTCATACTTCTTTCCTTGTGCTGATACAATGACAAAGTAGCCCTCCCCATTCCAGTTAAACTAGGTTTAATTTTTTAGGGGGGCATTGCATTTGTTTGTTTTTCCTTTGGGGGGGCATTGGTGTTGAAGTGAGTAATTCTCTAGCCTAAATCTAATCACTAGCCCTGCTAGAGCAGTCCCACTGCATCAATTGTAGCATGGTGAATCAATAGTTAAGATGACAAGTCAACACTTATGTAAATTCCATTGGTACTCTAGCTGGGTCCCTTCTCAGGCGAAAGGCAGCCTATAAATAAAACAAAGAATAATAAATAATTTAAATTACATGTTGGATCCCGACCTTTATACTTAGCACGGTTGTATCTGGTTCAGTTAGACTACCAACAGAATGGACACAGCTGGTGGAAGGAACTCTTCTGCAGCCCCTGCATATTCCCCCAGATCTGGTCTAATAAACTTGAAGCACTCTCATGAGCAGTTGCAGAGGCAGGATGGGTAAGAGGGAAGGGGGAGGAAAGGCATTCTCTGATGTGCAAGTAGAAACCTGCTGAGACAACACCGGATGGAACCCATTATATTTATAGGAAATTATAAGAGTAATTCTGTGCAATTTTCTAAACTCAAGACAGTAACTCTTGTTCTTGTTTCTTTTCCTCTTAACAGGTTGGGTGACCGGTAATGGAAAAGGACTCATTTACCTAACTGACCCCCAGATCCATTCTGTTTCCCAGAACAAAGTATCCTGCCTTACAAACTTTGGAAAGAAAGGGATTTACTATTTCTTCAACAATCAACATATAGAATGCAATGAAATCTGCCACCATCTTTCTCTATCAAGACCATTGATAGAAAAACCAAATTGACCTTGGGTCGCTTTCTTAAGGCCTTATCCCAACAGACACATTTTTTTTTTGAAAAAGCGAATTTTTATATTTTCTGTATCTGATCCATATTGGATTGGTATCTAATCCAACTATGCTGTGTCATTCATATTTTAATAACATGTTCGTAATCTTAGAAGTATCAGTGTTCACTGTTCTTTTAGTAGGGATGAGGTACTTCCTGCAGGAAGTGATTCTAAATGCTGCTGCCCTCTGTAATTCTTCTATGGATATTGCTTTCTACAACAGGTAGTTCTTCAAAATAAAAATATATCAGTGTAAAAATATGAGAAAGCAGTAAAGATCCTCATTTGCTTAACTTTGACCTTCTAACCCCCTGTCCAATTAAAATAGTGTAAGCAAGGCTGGCCTCACCATGAGGAGATTACCTCATGAAGGTACTGGAGGAAGCAGCAGAGAGATGTTGCAGGAAAACAGAGTTGAAGGTGCTATGAAGTCTGTCCTGTACTGCTTAGTCCTGAAATGTGGTGGATGTCTCTGGCCCACGGGCAGTGCGGTAAGAGTCAGCTATCTCTTGTGGAAGAACAGCATTTTCTCCTTCGTATCAGCCAGCAAAATAGCTTGAATTGTTGCTGAGTGTTAAATAAGAGCAGAGATACGCATACTAGCTTACCTTCTGTGACCCCATCCTACTCACCATAGATGTTGTTAGTGAAAGACTAAACTACTCACATAGACATTATATGTAGTTTAGAAACGAGTCAGAAGATTCCCAGAAGGCTGCTTACACTCCCTGATGTCATCTGGCCTGTGGAAATGTGAGGGTCAAATAGTCATTCACCCAAATAAAGTTTCCTATCACTGATACAAGATAGTATTTATATAGCTTTAGGCACTTTAGGGGATGTGGTGGCGCTGTGGGCTAAACCGCAGAAGCCTGTGCTGCAGGGTTAGAAGACCAGCAGTCATAAGATCGAATCCACGCGACGGAGTGAGCTCCCGTCGCTTTGTCCCAGCTCCTCACCAACCTAGCAGTTCGAAAGCATGCAAATGCAAGTAGAGAAATAGGTACCACCTCGATGGGAAGGTAAAACGGCGTTCCCTAGTCACGCTGGCCACGTGGCAACGGAAACGCGAGTGCTGGCTCTACGGCTTGAAAACAGGATGAGCACCGCCCCCTAGAGTTGGACACGACTGGACTAAGAATGTCAAGGGGAACCTTTACCTTTAGGCACTGACAAATTTTTCAGATCATGTATCCAAATGGCTCAGGTCTATTTTGGAAATGTGAGAGGTGGGAACATCCTTGCCCCCATGTGATGGGAGTGTAGCTATGTTAAGAATTATTGGGAAAATACTTTGTAGGATGTAGTGAGAACCAGTGTGGTACAGTGGATAGAGTGCTGGGCTGGGACTTAGGAGTCCTAGGTGGCACTGATAAATTTTTCAGATCATGGATCCAAATGGCTCAGGTCTATTTTGGAAATGCGAGAGGTGGGAACATCCTTGCCCCCATGTGATGGGAGTGTAGCTATGTTAAGAATTATTGGGAAAATACTTTGTAGGATGTAGTGAGAACCAGTGTGGTACAGTGGATAGAGTGCTGGGCTGGGACTTAGGAGTCCTAGGTTCAAATCCATGCTAGCCCTGGAAACCCACTTGGGGGCAGTTAGTGGTAAATCACTCCATGAACATCTCACATATCTCAAAAACCCAGTTTGGCTCGCCATTAATTCAGAAACAGCCTGATGGCACAAAACAACAAACTTTTATTGCCAATGAGAAAATAGTTTCTGTTCTTCTGGGATGTGGAAAATGAGAGAGGAACTGGATGTTTATGGATACTCGAAGTTTAGCAACAGCTCAGCTCACAAAGGAAAGTATGGACGTCTTTGGAAACTTGAAGAATTTTGAAGCTTATGAATAAATGCTTCTATGCTATAAACATACGTGGGAAGGAAGGATGTATTCTACAGAACTCAAGTAAACATTCCCTAAATAGACTCCATTTATCCAGTGCTGGAAGTAGAACAATCTAGGAGATTTCTAAACTTTGGTGTAATGGTGCCCCAAAAAATAAATGAGGAAACAAAAATGCCATCAGATACCAGGCTATTTTGTCAACAAACTCCCTCCACTATCATTATCACCTGAACAATTTTTCTTGTTCCAGTATCCGTTATTAAATCTCTCTCTTTCATAGAATCGAAGGAAAGAGGCAGCTTCTGCTCTGCTACTCTGGCTATTACCATGTTATTCCCTCCCCTTCTGTGAATCAAATGGGGGGGAGGCATCCTTACTCACTGCTATATGGTGCTTTCAGTCCATTCCCAGTTTGACACTTGTCTTCTTTGAATGTTTTTGTGGTACACATGCTGTCCAGAGGTGTCAACAGTGCTTGCCCCGGGTAAAAGCAGCTGTTGCTTTCCCCCTCCGCTCTTTTTCCCCCCACAATTTATGAAGCCATCTTTTGTGTCTTTAGATCAAAGCTTGTGATTCTTAAATGTGACCTCTTTGGACTTTTTTCAGCTACCACCAGGAAAATGGGGGGTGAAAACAACAGAATTCTACCACAGCCTCTTCCCAGATATCCATTGGGGGATTTTCTTACGTCACAAATTCCAGTGCTTGGTTCTGGAACATTCTCTTGCACAAGACCTATGGCAACGAATGGGAGTGATACAAAAATTATACCCCTTGCTTAGTTTCCACCCTTTTCAGTGGGGTTTGCCCAGGAAGATTTTCCAGTGAATTGTGTCCCTAGACCCCTTCCCCATTAAAAGTAACTACTTGTGACACTTTCCCGATGTTAAACAACAGGATCTTTGCTACAGAGGAGACATCTGTTTTATACCACCCTGTCATTTGGATTTCTTTTGAGCAGCTCTGAAGGCCATTTCACGTGACCCTGGATGCCTGCCAATATGTGAGCTGATAATTTGCACACTGAGTTTGCGCAGCTGAATGGTTGCATGATTGCTTTCACCATGCATTCAATTCTGCTTCCCACCCCCATCGCATCTCTGTTTTGCCACTGTTAAAGCTTTGAGGGGTAATAAAACATTAATACAGACATATGTTAAGATAAAGGAGGAATAAGATCAAAAATGTTGCAATTCCAAAATGTTTGAATAAGGTTCAATGTTTGAATAAACCTGGCAAACATATTGACTACTTCATACAGCAATATGAGCAATATGATACGAATCACAATGGGTGAATCAGTTCTGAATATTATTTTATTTAAATGACTATTAATAATTGGAAAACCTTAGAAGTTGTTTATGTTATCCTTTGTAAAGTTTACTGAGGTATCATATGTGAAGAATTGCAATCATATGTGAACAGTACAATATAAATACCCCATGTTCTTACAACATTAGGCATGTTGGGGTGGCCTTCACACTCTTTACAACCAAGAGGTTTCCAGCATTTGGTCTTTTTTAAAATGCACTTCTACACCTCATTACTGCGTAGAAATAATGGTAACATTTGCTTTATGATGTAGGAAACTGATTGCTGACTCTTCTTAAATATGCAGTGACCATAACTATACCTAGTAAGTACCTACTATATCAGTCAGTCCAAATGGAGACACACACATCCACGAGACCCAAATTATGCTACAGGACCTCAGGTTCCCCATTCAGATAGATGTATCTAATGGGGCAGAACTTCTGCAGACATTTGTGCCCAGCCTCTAGACCAGCAATTCTCAATGGAACTCATATGCCCCCCGCAGAGGGCACTGGCATTTTGGAAGGGGGCCACAGACTTCACACACCATCCTATAAGGTTTGTTGTTGAATTATCCAATCCAGATTCAACCTCTGTTTCTTCCATATTCTGTTTAGGGCCGTGGCCAAAATAAGGTTGAGAATGGCTGCTCTAAGCAAAACATTTCAGAGTGACTACAGGGAGTCGCCCTTCACATTTCGAGCAGAGCAACACCACAATGGACATTTCATATCCCATTTGGCATTCATAATCAGCAATTTGAACTGAGAAAAGGAGACATCAAAAATAATACAGTAAGACTAAGTTGCTGGTGCCAAAACAGAAAGTGAGAGACAGCTGAGCAGCTGCCCTAAATCCCAAACCCCCTGGATATTCCAGGCGGGCTCCGACAGTTCTCAAGCAAATATAGATACTCCACTCTACCAGATATTTCACAGAGCTGCTAGGCAAATAGAAAGACTTGTGCCATCATTTAGATAGCCTTTTAATGTTCTGGAATATTTTTCTTTTCCTTTGTTTTCTCAGCTTAATTTACTAAACTTTACCAAAAAATACTATTACACTGTTAGCATTGTATATATCTCCAATTGTGGAAGGATGGTTGTTACATGGGCTTTGAGTGCATAGGTCAGACAATTGGGACACTGTGTCACTTTCTTCTGGTCATAGAAATCTGCATTGTGCACCTCATTTACAGGAATTTTAAAAAATAATAACAGCAATCCACAGATAATGTCATAGACATGGGGATGGAACAAGTCAGAATGCCTTCTAAAGGGCACAGAGTGGGTCTTCCCAAACCTGTATGCCCCCCTCATTCAGGTATAAATTGGGGGAGGTCTACAAACCCCAGTTAAGACCATCACCATACTGGACCAGATTGATTTCTATCATGTACATTTCACATTCCCTTCCATGGATGTATAAAGGTCTATCTGTTGTTGTTGTTTAGTTGTCATATCGGACTCTTCGTGACTCCATGGACCAAAGCATGCCAGGCCCTCCTGTCTTCCACTGCCTTCCAGAGTTTGGTCAAATTCATGTTGATAGATTCGGATGTTCAACCATCTCGTCCTCTGCCATCCCCTTCTCCTCTTGCCTTCACACTTTCCGAACATCAGGGGCTTTTCCAGGGAGTCTTCTCTTCTCATCAGATGGCCAAAGTATTGGAGCTTCAGCTTCAGAATCTGTCCTTCCAGTGAGCACTCAAGGTTGATTTCCTTAAGAATGGATAGGTTTGCTCTCCTTGCAATCCAGGGGACTCTCAAGAGTCTCTTCCAGCACCACAATTCAAAGCATAAATTCTTTGGCAGTCAGCCTTCTTTATGGTCCAGCTCTCAGTTCCATACATTGCTACTGGAAAAACCATAGCTTTGACTATGTGGACCTTTGTCGGCAAGGTGAGGTCTCTGTTTTTTAAGATGCTGTCTAGGTTTGTCATCGCTTTCCTCCCAAGAAGCAGGCGTCTTTTAATTTCGTGGCTGTTTTCACCATCTGCAATGATCATGGAGCCCAAGAAAGTAAAATCTGTCACTGTCTTTTAAATGTCTATCTAGTG